TGCTCTCGTCGTAGATGAGGTACATGGTCGTGAGCGTGATGCCAAAGGCCGCGAGCACGGTCGCCCACAAGCGCTTGTCGCCGTCCGTGAGGCCGCCGATCGTGAGCCGGTCGACCCAGTGCGCTTGCGGCTGCGGCTCGCTATAGTACGCCTAGCCATAGTACCGATCGTCGTACAGCCATGTTATGCAGGAATCGAGTGTACCGGGAAGAGCGCGATGGAGAGGAAGGCGCCCATGAGCGCGAGCTTCTTCCCGACGCGGACGAAGCGCAGGAACATGAGCGTCTCGAGGCCGCACTTGTCCATGAGCTCGTCGTCCGTCAGTCGCAGCACGAACGGGATCCAGCGGAAGAGGCCGTCGGGCAGAGGCGACTTGGGCGCGACCTCGTACAGCCACCGGCAGCGCACGCACTCGAAGAGGACAAAGCCGAGCAGGAGCATCGGGCCATAGATGAGGAGGCCGTTCGAGAGGATCGCGGCCGACGTCCCGGTCGTCGCAGCTGCCGTGGCGTTGGCCATCGCAAAAAACTGCAAAGTGGGGATCAGATGCGCTGATGGGGGTGACCGGATCGGATAGACGCACGCAACTTTTACGGACGTGCGCTGTTGGCACGACGACGAGCCGAGACGACAAGCGATGGTAAAGTACAATTGTACGCACAGGACAATATTATTGTCGTATGACATCAGTCGGAGGGCGACGATAGACCGAGCCGAGCATTAGCTCCTCCACACAGGTTCTACATTACCGTATTTGTATATCATTCGCTAAATGAATTCATTCGTTGTCGACCGCTGACAGTGCTTATGAAAGGTCGCTTTGGCTGTCGCTTGGCCCTCAGAAGAGGGTATCGAAGCCATGCAACGCGTGGCCGACCTTTGCAATGTCAAGCGTGTACGCGGCTCCATCCCGCAGCACGCGTCCCGCCCATGTTGTTGAATATGGCAGCATGTGGTTGAATGTGGCATATGCCACAAGCAAATGCGGCAGGCCGCGTATCTCTGGTTGTAGAGCTCACACGCCGCCGCCACGGCGCATTTCAGGCTCCTCAAAGCGTGGCCTATCGCTGGACGACGTTTGAGCGATTTCGTTTTCAGACTCGATTGGGCCGATTGCGCCGCTGGTGTGGTGGCCGCCGCGGTGGCATCGCATTGGATTGGTCGAAAATAGAAAAAACAGCCAATGAATGACATGGCCTCCCGACAGGCCAGGCTGACGCGGGACGGACCCTGTTGCGTCCGTCCATACTGCATGGCACACATTGTTGTCGGTGGGTGAAAGCCACAAAAGCGAGTGCGACCAAGCAGTTCTCGACGTATCCGTTTGTCCACATGGGATCGCATTTTAATATCAAGCTGTCCACCACAACCCAACCGCAAACTCGAGCTCAAGAGGAAGTCAAATCGATGGTTCTGGCCGACAGGACGCCAGAGTGGACATCAAGTGCAGCGGTGGCAGAGGAGTTAGCGAGGCATCGACTTTAACGCGTCGCTGAGCGCGTCCGGCATGTGGCGCGAGAGACAAACGAGCGGCGAAAAGTCATACCACGCGTCGCCGTCATCAAAGAGCGGCAGCGAGTGGGCGCGGGCAACGCGCTGGTCGCGCACCAAGCGTCGCAGAAGGCGCTTGAGACGAATGCTGTTGACGGCGCGACGACGCGCCTCCTCGCGGTGCCGCGCCTCCTGGACCGCCTGGTTGTGCTGGAGGAGGAGAGCGTACATTTGGCGACCGAGCGGAATGGCGAATGGCCTGTCAACCAATCAGTGGACTTGGCGAGAAGACGTAGTCCAGATGGCGTATCTGGATTGTGTTGTGGCACGTGCTGTCCGCTCGACACTATTAGTCCAGTCGATGCTGGTGCGACGCGTCGAGTCGCGACCAGTGTCAACCTGCTTCCGCGTTGACGCACAGCATTCCCATGCAGCATTCCGCTCGGCGTGGCAAGGCTCGCCATACACTTCTCACGCGTCATGTCGCGTGGCACGAGATTCCTGCCGGCAGCGAATCTGGTGGCGACGACATGCCATACAGGATGGTGTCCACACGGCCCGAGTATATCACCTTCATCTCGACATAGCTGAACGTCGAGCGCGTGGAGGAAGACTCGATCGGCTCATTTGCCGGCTTGGAAGCCATAACCCAACCCTAGTCTGGTAGCCCTAGCCCTCGCACCGGCCAACGCCAACGGCTTCACCGTCCAGACGACGCAACGGCAGTGATCGTGGTTGTCTTTCCTGCAAGCACGGCTATATCTAAAATGCCCGTGCTGAGCTTCCAGCTACGCCATTCTGGCCGCGTCGGCGTCGCATACCTCTGCCACCTCGACGCGTGGGTACCGGACGAGCTCCGGACGCACTGTTCCGTGTGCCGCGAGACGTTTTCGTTCTTTACTCGCAAGCACCACTGCCGCCTCTGCGGCGAAGTCATCTGCATGCGCTGCTGCCGCTACATGCGATTTCACGACACCCACCGCGTCCGCGCGTGCGTCGACTGCGAGGTGCAGAGCCGTCTCGTCTTCTCGGAGCTTCCCCGGCCATCGCCCTTGACACTGCCAACCACCCGACATCGCGTGTACGGGCACGACGCGGCGCACGACGAGGATCGCAGCTTCGCCTACTGGGCGATTGCAATCCTCTTGAGCGGCATGTGGCTCCACGGCGATGCAGCGTTCTGGCTCCACGGCGATGCAGCGTTCTGGGTCGGTCTCGTTGGCCTCTTCCTCATCGGAACGAGCATGCTGCACCTGCTCTGGCCGTGTCTGATGACGCTGCCACCGACGCGCACCCCGACCAAGGGCTAGGCGTCGTACGGAGCCGGGTTGTCATTTTGTTCTTATGTAAGAAGATACGATTTCGTCTGCATGTGGCGAAACCACCAGACTCGAATCGGACAATGTATCGTCGCCTCTACTTGAAGAGGCGGGTGTACGTGATGACGACGAGGGAGACTGCCGAGAGCGCGAACGTTAAATAGAGCCACACCATCTTGCCAAACGGACTCGCGTACGGGTTCTTTGGGAGACTCGAGAGCTTCAGCTGCGTCTGGAGCAGCACGAGGCGCTGGCGCAAGCAGTAGACGAACGCAGCCGGAATCACCCACTACGCGTCCACCATCAGTACAATACTACTACCCTGCACTACATCGAGGCGCATCTAATACCTGAATGCCAAGTCCTGCATACGCGCCAGTGATGCCCACGAGCATGCCCACGTCCTCTGTGCACAGCGCAACGAGGAGCGGCGGCACGACAGCCGCGATCGCAAAGAGGGTGGTCGGGCTGCAGTGGCGGTTGCTCGCAGGTGAGTTCGGCTCGCCTTTGAAGAGCGTGTGGAGGTTCTCCCGGAGCGTAATGCAAATGATCGGAAACGTCGTGCTACAATCTTGTCATGCGAGGCATCGACATCTTATCCAAGAGTACCTGAGCGTGAAGACCGGGAACAAGCTCAGAAAGTACGCAATGAAGCGAACCGGGTAGTCGTTAAAGTTGAGCGTATACACATCCTATATCGTCCACGATGAGTCTCTCTAAAGAGTACATGAGAGCAGAATGGATGGACCTGGATGTCGGCGGGCTGGAAGCGGAAGGTGGCCGAGATCGAGAGCACCACGTACACAATCATGACCGCCTACGCAAATGCTGCATGCTTGCGACTTCGAAGTGGGAGGCGACGTACGACAAATGCGTAGAGGAGCACGAGGCCGACCGACCGCTTCTTGCTGATGGGCGCGATGATCCCCGGGATGCTGTGGTGGCACATGAACGAGTAGATGCAGACGCCGAAAAAGTTGGGCAGCGACGTAATGTCTTCGTGAGCAACCACGTCGGCAATCGGCCGGCCTTCGCCGCGGCCAATGCCCACGAAGGCGAGGATGATCATGAGCGCGAACGATGCATGGCGCATGACGGTCGTGATGAGCTGGATGCACTGCGTCTTCTGCATGTGCCCGAACGCAAACGAGCCGAGCGTGAGCCCAAAGACGACCACGAGGATGCGGTAGAGCTGCGCGCTGTTCATCGCGACGTTCGGGCACTCCCATACGGCGGCGTTGCTGGACGGGCGCGGGCAGATGACCTCGCGCAAGCTCTTTGGGATCGCTAGACGTCACATGCCATGAGCGAGGCCAGATGCATCATCTACGTGAGGGCGTACCGACGGCGTAGATGGCCAAGTCGCCGTACAGGTAGGCCGCGACGCATGCATAAAAGGCGGCGAGACCCTTGCGCGAGAAGAGCTCTTGGGCCATGGCGGCAATCTCGATCTGCGTATATAAGAGGCCTCGCTCGGCGCATGCATGGAGACCGTACCTTTTCCGAAATGTCAAAGCGCAAGCCTGCCACGTAGCCTTCTTCCTCCTAGAATAGCATGTCCGTGATGCTGGCTACGATCGCTGGCATGTCTACCTCGGTGTGCGTCAGGAACGGGACCGCCTCGGAGGCCTCGTCGACCGCCTGCGACGCGCCACTCAAAACCATGGTCAGTGAGCCCTGCTTGGTCAATACCGGCGGGTTGCTGAGGCGGCGCAGCGCGTTGACACCGGCGATGGCTTCGATCACAAACGTGGCCGAGACGTAGCTTACGAGCCCGAGGAGGCAGAGCGCGCCGAGGCCGTAGAGGAGGCCGACCTGCGCGAAGGCGTGCGGGATGGTCAAGGCGCCGGCGCCGACGATGAGGTTGAAGAGGAAGACGAAGCCCGTCACGGGCGAGTACGTGCCCACGTACGTCGAGTCGCCGGCCATGCTTTCGTCGTCTCTCTTTGGCTGGCGTCAGAAATTGGGATCTGACGCAATCCGTTGCAGATTGGTGCATCCAGCGCTTCATTGGACAAAATCGCGATCTTTTGCACCAATGGCATCGGATTGCCACTTCAACTGCAAGCCAGTAGCAAGTACGTGGCATGTCGCTGGAGCAATTGGCGAGCTGACGCCAGGTCGGTCGCCAGGCGCACGGCCATTGACGAAGCAAAAGGATGCATCAGCGGCAACGGAGATTGCGCCTTCTTGTGGTGCCACATGCATCGCCATGGATCATGCTACCGCCGGCGAGAACAGTGTCAAAGACGCTCTGCTGGCTTATGGTGGAATTGTTCTATCGAGCTCGGCGACCTGCGAGTCCGGAGAACCAAGGCAGCAAGGCTGTCTGTGGTCGTGCGTGGGGTATGGTCGCACGGTCCTGAACGTATCGAAGGGCCCAAGCCTTGGTTGGTACGGGCAGTAGCCACCGATTTCGTTGAGGAAGGACGGGATCGAGTACTTTGTTGGACATGGTAAAGAAGAGGAGTGTATATAGTGGCTACTTGGTCAAAACCGTCTACGTCCTAGTGCACTGGAGTCATATTTCTTAGCCCTTCATGTGGTCTTGCACAAAACTGAACGAGTCCTTCGACATAAAGTTGAAGCCCGACGCCTTGGACGCGTCCTCGTTCGGGTCCTGGATCGTCTTGGCAATGTAGTTGGTTGGGATCATCGCCGCGCCCATGACCGGCCCTTGCTGCATCATGGCCGGGCCGCGGGGCATCATGGGCGCTTGCGGCTGCATGTACTGCATCTGCTGCATCTGCTGCATCTGCTGCATTTGTTGCATGTACTGCTGCTGCTGCTGGAGGAGCATCTGAGGGTGCATCTGTTGTTGCTGCTGCTGCATGGGCATTTGCTGCTGCATGGGCAGTTGCTGCTGCGGCACCTGAAGCAGCGGGTCGAACGACGCGACGGGGTTCGTGGGCGTCGGCTTGGTCTCGCCGCCGCCGAGGGTCAGCCCACCGAACATGTCGGTCGTCGCCTGCACCGGTGTCGGCGCTGCTGCTGCCGAAGGCTGGAGGCCCTCAAAGAGCGACGCGGCCGGCGCCGTCGGGGTCGGGTCGGGTCTTCGAACCCGCCGAGGAGATCGGTGCTCGCGGCCGTCGAGCCCCGGTGCGTGCGGGACGCCGCTCGCGGCTTGGGCTCGGACGGCGCCACCGACGTCGAGTGGCCGAGCGTATGGAGGATCTTGACCGCACGGTCGCGGACGGCCGCCTTCTCCGAATTCGTGGCTTGCTGCAGCGCGTCATAGTTGTCGGCGAAGTACTCGTGAAACGTTTCGCAGCCGCTCGTGTTGAGGAGGCCGTCAATGACGGTGAGCGCTTTCGACACCACTTGCCACGCGTCGTTCTCGAGGCACTCGTCGAGGATCGGGCCGACAACCTCCGCATCCAGCGTCAAGGCGCTCTTGAGGAACGCATCCAGCTTGTCTTTCGGCGGCACGGCGCGCATACCGCCGGGTGGGCACAGCGCTTGGATCACATTGCGTTCGTACGAGCCGTCCGAGGCCGCCCCCGACGTCTGGCCGACGACCGGCTGCGGGTCCGACGGACGACGGTAGCCATACGAGTTGGGCGGCTGTGTCGAGCCCGTGTTGTTCCAATCGGGGGTCGAGTACCGACCTTCGTTGCGGTACTTGTCGCCGGGCGACTGCGACGGCTGGCGCACGGGCACCGGCGCAGGGGCTGGTGCCGGCACCGCATCCCACACACCGCCGACACGGCCCTTCTTTCGGTCGCCATCTAGCAGCTCAAAATAAGATATGGATCTTAGAGTCATTATGAGGTGGTGTACCGTAGGCACGCTGCTTGAGGTCCTTGGCGGCCGACGACCGATCGTCTTGCGGACCGCCGTAGTTGCTGCTGCCACCGTAGCCAGAGCCACCGGGCGCACTGTAGCCCGTGGGGCCGCCGTACGTGGTGGGTCGGTACGGCTCGGACGGGTTGTACGTCGAGTTGGCGTTGGGGTTGTATGCGCCGCTCGTCGGACCGCGGTTCGTGGCAAAGCTCCAGCCCTCGGGGGGATTCTGCGAGCCTGGCGGGCCGCCCGCGAACGTGACCTGGGGCTCGTTCGCGCGGAACTTGGACGCCTTGTCCTTCAAGCTTTCGAGAAAACCCTTGTCTGCTAGGATGGTATGAGTTGAGGAAGATAGCGATATGCGTCCATACCTTTCTTGTCCTCAAAGAGCGGGTTGCCCATGCCCGTGAGCTGCGGACCACCAAACGGCGCCGGGGGAGCACCGTTCGGAGGGTAGGCGGGACCACCATAGCCTTGCTGCGGCGCCTCCGAGCCCGGGTACGGCGGTCCGTTGTAGCCGCTGGAGCCGCCACCAGGGTACGCCGGTCCTTCGTAGCCGCCTTGGCCAGGTGGCGTCGGCCCGTTGTAGCCATTGGGGCCACCATACCCACCGGGACCGCCGTAGCCGCCCTGGCCGCCGTACTGGCCCGGCCCGTTGTTGAAGTTGCCGTTGCTAAAGTGCTGCGTCGGTGCCTGCTCCTTGCTGCCCCACGAGAGCTTGTTGGACCAGCCGCCCGAGGGCTGGGGCTGCATCGCGTCCGGGTTGCCGACGCCCTTGATGCGGCCTTGGATGCCCGCCGCGGCAATCGGCGCCGTGTTCGTATCAAAGATGGCTTCGAGGCACTCCTTCGCGGCTTCGCGCACGCGGCGGTAGTACTCGTCGCCCTTCAACGGATCCGGCGGCCCCCGAAATTCTACGAAATCCCGTTAGCCTCCGCGCAGTGGCATAAGCGAGCGTACGCAGCGCCTCTTTGACGAGGGGTACGTGCTTCTGCATGTCCCGGCGGAACTCGCCGCGGCCTTCTCGACACACTTGCTTGATGACCTGGAGCGCTTTGTACTTGATGTTGGGCTGCTTCTTCTTGAGGCGGCCGATGAGGTACTCCTGCACCTTCATGCAGGTCTCGTACGAGTGGTTCGTCATGCGCGCGATCTCCCCGTAGAGGTACCCCGGCGTCGGCGCGTCCGCGTCCTCGGTCGCGCGGGCGAGCACGTTCTTGTCCATCCTCTCGGCGTCTTCGAAATATGGGGCAAAAAGCGGCCTTCCGAACCCGGATACACTATCCGGACAGTTGAGATCCAACAACGACACCTGGACCAATGAGAGCGCGGTATTCGGACAAAACTCAACCACGGCCACTTTTGACGTGGATCCACTTCGTTGAAACTCAAAACCACGACAGGTAGAGGCACCGCGGGGTCGACCAGTGTACACGGTACCTAGGGGGCTCAGCAACAAATATTTAAATCAAGTAAGGGAGGCGAAGGGCTTTGTGTCTGTACCGTTCGCACTCGCTAATGTGTGCGGTACATGGAAGAAGACAGCGTCGGGCAAAAGCAAATCTGGAATCCGAGGATTGAGTTGAGTGCTGGATTTTTTGAGCGGCCGAATTGAGTCTGAGTGCGTCAGTTACCAGCAATCCGACCTTCTTACAAACACCAAGTGCGCTGACTGGCTAGTCGAAACTCAAAACTCAAACGGTGTGAGTAATGGCATGCGAAACGCGGGGAGCGTGCATTGGGACATGCGGTCGGCGAGATATCTTTGTGCTCGTCGGCGGCGGCCATCTTGCCACAGCGTTCAGGCTGGCATACCGCTGCAAGAAGGCATGCTGCATGGCTCTGGGCATGGCACAACCAAACTCAAACTCAAAATCGTATTTGAGCTATAAATAGCCCGTTGATAGCCAGAGGGCAAGATGGCGGGTCGCCGTGGGAACCTCTGTCATGGACTATTCACAAATTTGGCGGGAAATGAGCGCCGACCTCAAGTGCCAATACAAGACGGGCAAATGCTTCAAGGAGCGCACGCGGAAGCGCAACGGCGAGGCTCATTCGCTCTGTGAAGAGCATCGACTCAAGCAAAACACGATCCAGCGCCGAAGCGACCGCAAGTACCAGTCGGTGCACGCTGTTCGACGGAAGGAGCGGTCCGAGCGCAAAGCGCTTCTTAAGAAGCAGGTTACAATGACCCAGCACTTGCTGGACCCGGCACTGCATGTGCTCAACCCGCTAAGCCTTCTTCCCACAGCGCCGGCGACAGCGTTGCCGTCGTACCCACTCGCATTTAGCAGCCCTCTCTGCACAAAGCCTGTCACTGACAGCGGCTTGTCCCCTGTGCGAAGCGAGATGTCCGGCCTCTTGCGTGGCAACAAGATTGTGACCAAGTCCTTCCAGTGGACAGCCTCGGCGAGCAGTGTGCCGGGTCCAGCACACATTAGTCGGCGTGACGTCGTTGCCAGTGGCCCCCCCGAGACGACACCCAACGACGCGTGGACGGACGACGACGTGCAGTTGTTGCAGTCGATCTTGCTCGTCTAATACCCGTCGTGTGGTGATCTTCACAGTACACGATGCGTTATTTACAGTCAATAGACCTCAAATCTAGAAGCTCTCCTTACCTTCCAACCTGAAATTCAATGAGCAGGGTGGATGCCTGAAAAGGGCGCGTTATCTGGGGGTGTCGGCGGCGACGGTAATCTTTCGCAGCAGAGAAATGCTGTCGGTCGGAGCATTACCTTCGAGTCGCGACGCCTCTGTGTGCACGTACAAGGAAACGCATCCGCGCAGGGACGGCCTGGACGTCTCCGCATATATAGATCCCTCCGCTTAGTAGAATGATAGACGCCACCAAGATCTTATCGCGAAAAAGAAATGCCTGCTTCGAATAACTGATCGCTGGGGGTGGATGTTCGATCTGCGTCGAGCACCGATGGCCAGCGCCAGAGCCAGCTGCCAGAGCCGGGAAGCCGTTGCAGTTCGCCTTATCATATTGCACTTCGGTGCCGACGTGTGCGCGATCTTTCTCGAGCAAGGAAGACGAAGATTCAGGTTCGAATGCTGGGCACATACAAACATTAAGAGAAAGGTCTGCGGCACAAGCTGTTTGAATTTCCTAGATTCAAGTTGAAGGCACCCACATGTCCCGGCCGGCATATAAACTTCAAGACGCTTTCTATTTTTAGCCCAAATGACTTGGCAGCACGACAGCGTCGCTTTTTTCTGCTCAAATTCAATTTCAAAAATATTAATATTGATTATAAAATACAAAAAGTGTGTTGCGTCATCCCGGGTCGAGCCGCCGCGGTATTGGTCAACAATTTTTATTCACCTGGATGCGTGCCTCTTGTTTTTTATTCGTCGCAAGTGTCGATTGACTTGGTTCCAGTATGAGCATATGACGTGCTGGAAAATAATTTAACGTCTGGTGTCGCATCTCGGACGTGCTTTAAAGTCCGTGCGGCACCTGGATGACGAATCTAGTTAAAATATCTACTCTTACAGTGTATACTTTCCAAGAGACTTTTGATGACGGACCTATTCCAAGTGAAGATTGATACTGAAAGGGTATGTATACTGAGAGACGTGACGACGCTCCGGTTCGCTGAGGAAGAAGATTCTTGTGACTTCGGATTGTGGCCAATCACGCATCAAGAAATCCAAATAACGCATTTTCATTGGTGGAATCCAGCGCCATGTTGTGGGCTTCGAATCCTGGAGGGTTTTTGTTGCGTTTTAAAAAAATACGATGTGAAACTGGCCCTGCAGCGTGTGGTATACAAACTCCAAGAGAGTTGCGGCACGGTTTTTTGCGCAAATTTTCATTTTTCATTTTCACCACGCCTGCTAGCGAAGATCCCAGCATCTTCCTGCATCGACCTCCGACCTCGATGACACCTCGCACCGACGACGCCCGCTCCATGGACGCGGAAGCGGACCTGGACTTCCTCATGCAGAAGAACATGCGCAAGCTGCGCATGAAGGCCGTCGCCAAGAAGAAGAGCGCGATGAACGTCCCGACGCACCCGTTGACGGCGCACGCGTTCGCGACCATTTCGCCCAAGGACAAGAAGCGCGAGCCCAAGTCGCATGTGCTCAAGAAGGACTTCTTCGCCGTCGACGTGCCCAAGCCACATGCCACCGAGACCTCGTCGCCGGACGAGAAGCGCCGCAACATTACGATCTTTGAGTGCGCCAAGCTCTTCAACGACAAGGGTCAGGTGCTAACGCCGCAAGAGTTCGAGCTCGGTGGGTCGCCTTGCAGCATGTCCCCGAGCCCAAGCAGCGACTACGGCTCGTTCGGCTCGCTCGGCCGCAAGTCAAAGAAGCTCCACAAGAAGTCGCTCAAGACCAAGCCGCTCACGACGTCGCAGATGCTGCGCGAGATGGCATGGGAGCAGCTCATGCTTGAGCTCATGACCGCACTCCTCCCGCGCATCGACGTTCTCTCGGAGCTCAACCGCAACCTCGTCGTGTCGCGGTCCCCCGGCAAGCCGGGTCACATGGACCTCGTCGCGTTTCAACAGCACCTCTCAGCGCGCCTCCTGCAGCTCCACACGGAAGAGACGGAGCTCCCTGCGCCATTTACGCCCGCGGTCAAGCTCGTTCAAATGTACATCAACTCGAGTCTCGTCCAGCACATCACGTACGAGTTCATGAAGATCAAGGACGCGCGGGCAATTGCCGCGCACACCGACATCCTGCTCGCGATCTACGACACAGTGCCGGGCCTGCGCTTCGACATCCTCAACGCGATCGAAGCCGTCGGCATCGAGCTCTACAACCTCCAAGCGACGTCGCCGCAGGGCCTCTCGATGGAGGGCGTCGTCAACCTCCTCGGCCACCTCGTCCGCTTCCAGCACGACCTCTCGGTGCAGAGCCAAGAGAACATGTTTGACGACATGGACGACGAGGGACCCGCCTCGAACGACGACGACATGGCGGTGTACGAGAGCGCGAAGCGGTCGCTCTCGATGTTTTGCCGGTCGTGGTCGCTCTCGACCGTCTCGACGAACGAGAAGTACCCTGGCGACTCGTCCTTCTCGGGCAGCGCCAACCTCGCGTCCAACTTGACGGTCAAGGCGCTCGTGTCGACCATGACAGCGCTCACCAAGGCGTCGCCGCACCAAGGCCTCGACTTTCTCCTGAGCTGCCTGCTTCGGCGGTGGCCTGCCCGGTGCACGTCGCGGCAGCTGCTCTTCCTCCGCCTTCTCGCGGTGCAGCTCGTGACGCTGGCGTCGGCCAACGTGTACTTGGAGCTCTTCCCCAAGGCGGTCTTTGATGCGTTCCACCGCATCCGCCTCTGCATTTTGTCGCCGCATGTGCTCGTCGCGCGCGAGGCCGGCGGTCTCTGCGACGACTTGCAGCTGCAGCACCTCTTCTTGCTGCGCGACAAGACCTTGCTCAACATGGTCTCGTCTGCGCTGCATGACAACGCCAAGCTCCACTGGAACAAACAAATCCAGTCCCTCTCGGACGATCGCTTTGACGCGATGCTTGACCTCGCGTGAGCCGTCCCGTACAGTAGAAACCCACAAAAACACGACTATTTATTCTTGGCAGCAGCACGCGCCGTCTTCTGCGACCCGTCCAATGCTGCGTCGTCGCACATTCGACGAGCGCTTCGCCGCGCCGTGCTGCTGCCAACAAGTGTCTCGATCCTCCTCTTCCTCCTCTCACCGTCACTCGTATCACTCACCTGTGTGTAGGTGAGCGCGCCCGTCCGAGTCCAGAGTAACACAATCAATAGAATCGGTGTCGTTCTCTGAAATGGTGCATCTGAGTTGAGGCGCAGAACAGATCTGGTGTCTTGCTCGTCTGGGTTGAACCCAGACGAGGAAAACCAGAACCGAGAAGATGACACTTTGAATCAGATGCCAAGTGGTTGCCAACGAACGCTTGCTTCCACGGACGCTAAGGCCATTATTGATCCTGCCCTTGGCGAAAGGGCTGACGTGAGAGCTCAGTTGCTGCTACTAGCCGCAGGCTGCACCGGTAGCACGCATTATGTACGGTCATTACACCGAGCGACGCAACCTTCCACATCCACAGTTGCCGCGCTACCTCGACGTCGGCGCTGGCTGACGTGGCATGGATCGTTCGGTCGAGGATTCTTGGTTCACCGCTACCGGTACCGTTCCAGCCGCTATGATCGAGTTAAAATGCGGGCTACCGTTTATCTGGCCGCAAGAAGACGGGCTCGGAAGCTGCACAATGCTTTCCGCTTCACGTGGCGCCTCGGTGCCATGGGCAGCATGGCTCCTCGCTGCAGCTAAACGCACGCTACTTTTAACCACGCCACGGCTCTCGATCGCGCCTCGCTGCAAAGGGCACGCAAGATTGCTTATACAGGAAGCATTGCATACCTGGTGCTTGATGTGCATGGCGTCGACGCCGAAATCGTTACCGTGGAGCCGACGCGTGGGGTCGCAAGTACGGTGCATTTAGCCATTTTGGTCGCGGCCACCCAGCGCTGTGATTGGTCATAATCCCGACGTCCACAAAGCCGACAATGGCCGACGACGCCCGAGCTCAGCGCCGCGCCCGCATCCTCGCGAGCCAAGAGAAGCGCCTCAAGTACGTGACAGGGCAGACGGGGTCGCTCGCGCCTGCCAAGGACCCAGCCCATGACACGCTCGATGAGATGGCGAAAGAGCTCGAGAACGAAGCGGCGGCGACCAAGGAGCTCGTGATGCCATCCGTGCGCGTGGACCCCGCCCAGCGCCGTCGCGACGCTGCGCTGCGCAAGGCCAAGCAGCAAGAAAAGGTCGCCGAGCGGCTCGGCAACGTTGAGAAGGAAAAGGAACCCGAGGCGCCAGCGACGCCAGCAACGACGACGCCAGCGACCACGGCTGTCCAGGCGCCGCCCGCGCCGCCGCGCTCCGCGGACACGGCCAAGTCCAACTACTCGCGCGACGTGACCATGTTCAAGATGGAGCAAACGGGCGCGCTTCTCGTGATTCTCATTGCGGCGATCGTCGTTGGGCTTACGCTGGACCTCGAAGGCCTGTCCGCGTCGGTGCTGTCCAACCCGCAATACGCCGCCGTCCAGGCGCTCCTCGCGCAGGGCATCCCCATCGAGTCCGTCAAGCAGCAACTCGAGCGCGACCAGGTACTTCATCCGGTGCACTTCTTGCTGGCATCGCTCATGTCCAAGGCCAGATGGACGCGACGATCCTCGATCACATCCAGGCGTCGCTCGCCCGTGGCGACAGCATTGCGCCAGCGTCGTCGAGCTGGTTCCTCCCGTCGTTCTCGCACCCGCCGCTCATGCTCTTTCCCGTCGCGATCCGCCTTCTCTTCTCGGTGCTCTTCAAGGTCGCCCGCAGCATCGTGGGTGTCCCCGTCACGGGCGACCACGAAGCCGACGACTCGGGCATGATCATGAAGATGGTGCTTGGGCAGGTGCCGATGCTCCGTGACATTCTTCGCATGGGCAAAAAGCTCTTTGACGACGTGTGCGTCCTCGTCGTGCTGGTGTGCGTCACGGCTGCGCTCCGCGTCGTCGTCCTCTCGGCCTAGCGACTAAGCTGCGTGTACTACGATCCCTGTTCTTCTTGCTACTTAGTTGGTCGCTCGTTCTAGTCGCTGGCAAACAAGAGACTCGGGTTGGCCTGCACGAGCATCTCCTTGATCGCGACGACGTCAAAGCTCTCGGACGCCAAGTTGGTTACAATGCGCTGGACGCTCCTACATCGTCGTACCAGATGCCGAGTCGATACCAGATCGCAGAAGGGCGTACGGCGTGAAGACCGGTTTGAGGTGGGCTTGGACTCTTCGGCCGTCGCGTCGCGGCTTGCCTTCCCAGCCGTTGTGGCCGCCGAGCGCGAGCCACTTGGGCGCTTCGAGCATCAATGGCTCGTACTTGCGCATGGTCGACGGGTCAACGAGGTTGGAAACAAACGCCGAGAGCGCTGCGAGGCTGTGGTCCGGCTACGGCATACCGTTAGTTAGTTAGTCGTCTCGTGTCGTCGATGGACTACTTGGAACCAAAAGACGAGGTTGGCCTCTTCCTTGAAGACGAGCATGTCCAAAAAATCCTTTCCGTACGCCATGTACTTGTAGTCGAAGCTCTCTTTCTGGAGGCTGCTGTGCTTTCCAAAGACCCAGTCGCGGCGCGCGTCCAGCAGGAAGAGGCCGGGCTCAAACACGTCCCGCGGAATCGACTGGTAGCTGCGCTCGAGGGCCGAGAGAGAGAAGAAGACCGTGCGCCGGAGACTTGGCGGGTGCGGCCACTTGATCGACGCTGGGCGCGATAGCGGGGCCGCGCTCGCCGCGACTGCGTGCGCCGCTTCTTCCGCGTCGAGCTCGCGCAGCTCTTGCGTGATGCGCTTGACGTCATCGGTGGCGCCACGCTTTGTGGCTTTTTGAAGCCGCTCCAGTCGACTCTCGCGCTGTAAAAGATGTTGGAGCTGGTACATCTAATATCCACCAGAATCCGTCGTCATGCCAAAGCGATGCGATGGCGTACGAGCTGCTCGGGCAGCAGATTCGGACGGTACGTGCGGCGGTCTTGAAGCGCTTCCCGGAGTTCGCTGGTTGACATGGCCCACGGAGTCGTCACGGGGCCATGGCCCGGCAGACGCAGAAAGATCGTGTCGCCGTTCCCAACGTCTACAAGAAAACAGCAGTATTGTCTTATGCCGTGTGGACTCGTGTCGTACAGTAAATGTCGAGGTGGGCGTCGTGACGCATGATGCGTCCCTGGAAACTGAAAATGTGCTCCGAGATCGGAACGCTAGCGAGTCGGTGCTTGGCGATGCGCCACTGCTCGACGAGGAAGGCCTGAAGCGTCTCGATGGTCGCTAGCTTGGAGACGCGCGTCGTAAACTTGTCCGTCTGTGGCTCTTGGCACGTGCTCACGTACACGATCATCTCTTGCACTTGGCGGGCGCCGACCTTGACCTGCTTGACCGGCATAAGGTCGGATATCGGGTATTTTAAGACTCCTAACGAAGCGTGAACTGCAATACGGTCCTATATTGGTTAGGACGTCCATACTAATTGAAACAAAAATTGTGAGCTCCCTCCCATGGTATCGCGCTCGACGTTGGATTCGACGTGGACAGATCAACGGCCAATCGACCTGGCGCTATGTGCAGTGGATCGACACCTCAACGGCAATACATACAATAGGATCTTATGGGCTTGTACATTATATCACGACCAATCAATCCAATCTAAGGGTGTACTCTGGAGGCATCAGTGATGGTCTTAGCTCTCTGCGGCAAAGTGAGGGCTGCTTTTGTACCGGTACCAGTTTTTGGCGCCACAATTTAGCGGATACAAAAACACTCGTCCAGGCCCCAGTGTGCTACGGTATAATCGCGGGTAGGGTTATCTTCCCGAGCACAGCGATGTGCGCTGGTTGACGGTACTTGTCGTCGCGCGCCGTGGATGACGGTAGCCATCATCATCTCTCCTTCCCCCGTGGTCCAAGCAGCGTTCCTCCTCGTACTGCACCGAATTTCTCCCCTGCGCATTGCCTCCGTTGGACGGCGCCCGGAACATCCACCATTGTGATAATGCCAGCTGTCCACGCTCATAGGTATGTCTGTCGGAGCACTAGAAACACCATGGACATCGTGCTGCGCGTTGTATGGCGCGCTTCGATGCTGTGAGATGGGTCGTTGCGACTTAAGTCGCGTGTGTTTAGTTGATGTGCCCCGGGGTACGACAGTGCACCTTCCCGAGATGGCGCGTTTGGTTATCTGCGGCATAGCGCAATCCGATCATGCCCACGGACGTCGAGCTCTTCCGCCCGGCGGCGACGATCGCCATGTACGCAGACGTGCGCCATGCGACGCTGCAGAACGGTCTCAAGGTCGAGTACGCGGTCCATGGCGCCGACGACGCGCCCGAGAAGGTCCTTCTCATCATGGGCCTCATGGCCGAGAAGGAAGCATGGCTGCCGGTGATCGCGACGCTCCTGGACCCGAGCTCGCCGTCGGCGCGCCGCTATCAGTGTGTGACGTTTGACAACCGCGGCGTTGGCGGCACGGACCACCCCGCGGGGCTGTACACTACGTCGATGCTCGCGACCGACGCGCTGCAGCTGCTCGACCACCTCGGATGGCGCCACGCCCACATCGTTGGCCTGAGGTATGCGCTTGATTCGGATTGCAGCGTATCACCAAGCATATTCGCGTAGCATGGGCGGCATGATCGCGCAGGAGCTCGCGTCGGCGGCGCCGGAGCGCGTCAAGTCGCTCGGGCTCGTTGTGACGTCGCCCGGCTTTATCCAAGGCGCGACGCCCCGCCCGATGCAACTCGGAGGCTACTGGGAGCTCGCGAAGAACCTCTTTTCGACGTCGCGCCACGAAATTGCGACCAAGATGATCCACGTGCTTTACACGGAGGAGTACCTCAGCCGCACCGACGAGGACGGCGTCGCGTTCGGCAATCACGTCTACAACTACCACTGGGAACGTCTCGCCCACAGCCGGGCGACGGTGAGAGGCATGTGCGGCCAGTACTCGGCGGTACTTCGCCACCACATGAGCGCCGCGCGCTTGCGAGCGATTGCGAAAGCCGGGTTTCCGATCTTGATCATTGGCGCGCGACGGGATCGACTCTTGCATCCGAACAACTCGGACATCCTCGCGGACCTCCTAAAGGGGGCGAAGACGCGCAAAATCATTTACGAAGATGCGGCGCATGGCGCCCACATTGAAAAGCGAGTGGAGGTCGCCATGGCCCTCAACGAGCACTTCCAGACGCGAAGCCAATTGTAGCAACGACATTTTAATCTCGAGCCATGTGTTGCCTTTCGAGGGTCCATATTAATGTTGTTGTACTATTAGTAGCCGGTGGGAGGTGTGTAGGGCCGTGCCCATGAAGGGGACGGGGTTCAGGATTCTGCAAAAGACTGAGCGAGCGCGAAGACCAAACGACAAGTGATCCAAGGGACAGAACGTCAAGGGTTAGACCTTGCACTATAGTGCAATCAACAACCGCGACGTGATCGGCATCGCACGCACAAAGAGAAGCGTTGGAGCTCACCCCCAAAGGCTCGTGCAACTTGTGCATTCGCTGACAAGGACGGCACTTGGGGTGAAACCTCTGACAATCGATGCGACCCGATCACCGACATCTTGTGCCGCTCCATTCGGGTGTCCTTAGCGCCACCACAACCAGCGATGACTCGTAGAAGCAATGCTTGGTGGTCTGCGCGCTGTGATCAGCTCTAGACGCATGTGGATTCATTGCAAATGAGGCTTATGCGACCTCCAAAAGTTGGTACGGCTTTAAATGTGGCTAAATATGGTTGTTTGTGGCAAGTGCCATTTATGATTGTTTGGCTTATAATTCATTCTATACACCTCAAACGCCGGCGCGGTATAGCCCGTTCAGCTCTAAACAGTGCCTTCTATTGCTGTGCCAAGCTGGAGCGACTTCATTTTAAATCGAGGTATGGTCGCCCGACCGACCCGGGGGCGATGTCAGGGCCAAAGATCGCTTGGGATTGGTCGAAAATAGATCAAATGCGCTAATCAAACGTGATCCACACTATTTTATGACGAGAAGATTGTTGAGCTTTGAGCTGGCGCCAGCTGCTGGCGCCGTGATCACGTTCCGACAGCAATCGGGTTCAAGCTGTGTAGTGTTTGGTGCTTTATATATTGTCATTTATGTCTACTACTACGGCGTACTCTAGCTACAGAAGACCCAACTCGTGGGCCTTGGCCAGCAACCCGCGCAGCAAGGTCTCTTCGTACTCGAGCGCCACGTCCCGATGCCCCGGAGGAACCGGTGCGAGGACCAAGTACGGCTCGAGAGCCATCGGCTGCCGTGTCTGGATCGCTGTGATGGCGCGAACGAGCGTATCGATCGCTACCACGCGCTCGTTTGGAGTCCAGAGCAATGGTGGCGCGTGCTGGAAGTTGCTGGTTTGAGGAAGGCGGTGGAGACACGGTGCTTGTTCAAGAATCACTTGTTGCATGATCGCCATCGGCGACTTGCTTTCGGTGCACTCTGCGTCGGTGTCGGTTTGGTCGGCGGCTGAATCAGCCACAATTTCTGGCACCGGTGCGATCGAGTTGCTTGGAATGCTGTCCGTGGTGTCGTCGAGGGTCGTCGTCGTCGGCGGCGGCGTGTTGGGTTCAGCTGCTTGTTGCAGGCGTGCAATAGCTGCGTTCTGCTCGTCAATGGTCCGTTGCGCCACTGCGAGCTTCGTCGTGAGCTCCTGGATTCGAGCCTCAGCCATCTCGAGTGGTGTTGCAGCCTCCGGGGCTGGCGTCGCTGAGCGCACTGGGGCTGGCGTGGTGGTGGCAGCTGCGGCTGCCTTCTTGCGGAGATCAACCGCAGGCTTGGTCGTTTTGGCTGCCGGCTTGGTCGTCTTGGCCGCCGGCTTGGTCGTCTTGGCTGCCGGCTTGGTCATGGAGCGAGCCACGGGTGTCTTCTTGGGCTGCGGCTTGGGGCTCGGCACAGGCTTGGCCGCCATGCGCGCTTCTTTCGCCTTGCGGCGCTGCTCGGTGGCGTAGAGAGCAGGGTATGTCTCGCGGAAGAGCTGTTCCTCGCGCGCGCGGCGCTTGGCCTCCTTGTCTTGGACGTGCTGGCTGTTGTAGAGCATGGTGTTTGCGATTATGACGCGCTGCAAGACGCCATTTCGCTCGCTGTAAAAGCGATATTGCAGGTTTTTCCCTTGTGAAGCGACAGGGTGTGCTAGCTTTTACTCGCAGCCTTTACAGGCGACGTTCAACATCGCTGGTACTCGCCGCCTCGGCATGTACGCTCGACTAAGTTCTGCAAGCAGCGTGCAAAGCCAGCCAACTCTATTTCCTTCAGGCAAACAAGTTGCATCCTCGCAATAGCCCGTGTGGCTTCCCGACCTAATGTGAAAAACGCTACTTCGACAATGGTTCATCCAATATCATCTTTTCTCGGCAAACGGTCCCCTGACGGTGGTGATGTTTCCCTCTTTATCGCTAGAAAAGTGCCATATCTTTTGGAATGTCCACTCCACTGCACACTGTTGCGGATGCGTTGTTTGATAAGTTGGGAAAATGTGCTCGGTCGCAACCTCGGATCGTCTTTACCAAGCTGTACATCATTCCAAGGCACAGCCAATGTACTTGGGGGTGTTGCGAGGTGGCTGCTTTGAGTCAAAGCATTGAAATACGCGGTAGACCATCGCTGGGGCGTCGAGTATGAAGGGAAAAGGGCGCTCATATGTCTTTTCTCAGCAATCGGGCCCCAGACTGTGGTGATGTTTTTCTCTCTATCGATGGAAGAGGGCTTGAGGGTTTGGAACACCCAATCCGCTGTACACTATTGTCGTTCGATGCGTTTGTAAAACGTTTTGCTCGCAACCTCGCCACCTTAGATCACCTTTGCCACCCCGTCCATCATGCCACTACCCAACGAGTGCTGCGGAGGCTTGGGGCACCCGTCAAGAAACTAGAGAGCACACATGGTTCGGGCAAGTTTGCGTTGTAGCTGCACGGTTGGTACAGCCTAGCCCGTTCTTATCCGAGGACACGAAGCGATGACAGAATCGACAACGCGGAGCAACCAAGATGTGTGCATTCGAGTCGAAACCTCCAGAAGGTCGAGCTCTTCTCGACAAACCACTGCAATAATAAACAACGGCGTGAGCTAAACCTCTCTGTCTCGGCATGCACTCGGTCCTTTGGATCCCACATAGAACAAACACGTGCTGGGCTGCCACGTCATGGTTGTATCCAACTGTGCAGTGTACGTCGGTGGTACACATGCTACTCGACACAGTGGAGCTGCGCTGGTTTAATCTGCGCGTGCTGCACTGCACTGCTACGGAGCGGGTGGTATCGTTGGCGCCGATCCGGTAGGTCCAGCGCGGGAAACTTGGGACCGAGATGCTCGAAATAGTGTATGGTTCTCCCTTTCCAGCCAGATGGTTTTGGAACAAGCCGCAAGATCCGATGCGAGTGCAAGCTGCGGTGGCGCTGCTGGCAGGCGCTGCGGCCGCGTGTCCGTACGCAGCTCTGCTGCCGCCCGACGTCTCCAGCGTCGTCGTCGCGTGCCCGGCCAATGCTACGCTGTGCACAGTGGATCGCGCCTGCGGGGCCATAGCACCGTGCAGCCCGCTGCCAGGCGTCTTGGATCTTCGCTGCAGTGGCAGCCCAGCCTTGGGCGATCTGTCTGCCACCAACGTCAGCGATCTCTCGGTCATGTGCACGAAGCTCAACCTAGAGGCCCTCGTGCTGCCGGCGCTCGCCTCCTTGTACGCGATGCCTTGACGCTTCGGACGCATCATGCAGCAATCTCTTGGCGTAGCACTGTCCAGAACTGCAGCATCGAACGCATGCCCTCTGCGCTACAATGGCCACCTTCTCTCTTGACCATGTATGTAACCACCGTCAGAGGCCAATGACAACACGAGCGCCAATGGTTGTAGGGACCTTGCCAACACCTCGTTGCAGTCCGTTCCAGCCGGCTTGCCGCACCGTCTACGCGATCTGTGCGCTACATCTTCGGTGCAACTCCCTCTAACCTCACATGGCTAGGCGACTGGATGACAACGACTTGTCTCGCAGCACAGCAAGCTTGGATTCGCTTCCGACGTCGCTGCGGCGCCTGTAGGTTCTTCCCTAGATCTCGAAGCGGGGCCATATGATCGCATGGCAGGTCGCTGCAGGCATGCCACTTGCGCGAGCTTCGCAACCTCGACTGGCGCCACCTCCAATTCCTGTACGTAGACAGCCTTGTCATCATTCTGCGTCTCATGACACCGTGCAGGCACCTCGGGCACAACCCGCAGCTACGCACCCTCGCCAACGTCAGCCTCCACGCGTCGCACCTTGTCGCCTTGTATGATGATAGCCGATGGGCCGGTATTCTGCGTACTGACCGCCCGCGCTAGCTCGTGCGACGGCTGCAACCTCTCGTCTGTCATGCTTGACGCTTCCTCGTACCAAGCGCTCAACGCACTCTCGCCGTCCACCGACGCCAAAGGCTTTGCCGTTGACAACAGCACGGCGATTGAGGCGAGCGTCGCCGAGTGCGACCGCCACCACGCAGCGCGCAAGCCGCTGTGGGCAGCGCACGGCCACAAGTTCTTCGTGTGCGTCCTTCCCCGTACGTCCTCTGCTTCGTTGCGCTTTGACTCATAATAAGTGTGTGGACCAGAGATCGACGTGCAGTACACCAACCGTACGGCTCTCTCGCGCATGCTGCCATGTCTCTCATCGCCCTGTAGTCTGGTCGACGATCGGTGTCGCCGTCACAAGCTCGGCGTTTCTGGCCCTCGTCGTCGTCGGCGGCTGCCTCTTGCGCCGCGACCGAAGAGCACGGCAGGCCAAGCAGCTCGAAGTCCTCAACGACCTCACGCTCGCAGACTTGGCGATGGTGCAGCTCGACGAGACAGCGTTATTGCTCGAGGCGCGCGTCGCCGGACGCGTGTGGCGGGGTCGCTACAAGGGCAGCGTCGTCGCCATCAAGAAGCTGCATGTGCCAACGCCCGCCGAGACGCAGCGCTTCGTCCACGCGATCCACGTCTTGACCACGTACAGGCTCGTTCCAACGACGTGTGTAAGCGTATATGGTAGACTGGACGGCCCGTCGATCGTGCCGTTTCTTGGCGCCGCGTGGACAAGCCCGACCGACCTCAAGTGCGTGCTCGAGTTCATGCCTCATGGCGATCTGCGCAGCTACCTCGCGACAACGCCCGAGGCAGCCGTGCCGTGGAGCCGCAAGGCGCAGTTCCTACGAGACATTTTGAACGGGCTCGTCTACCTCCACGACGCCGTCCCGATGCTCCACGGCTGCCTCGATGCGCGCCACGTCTTACTCGACGCCGACTGCCGCGCGTATCTCTACGGCATGACGGCCACCGCGCTCGGGACTGACAGCAGTGCTGCGAACCGATGGGTGGCGCCCGAGGTGCGTCATGGCGAACCACTCTCAACCGCCGCCGACATCTATGCGCTGGGTATGAATCCTCGTTCTCTTTACAATCGGCTTTTCTCAAAAGAAGAGTGGGGGTAGGGCTCCTGGTGGCCGAGCTCAGCACACACACCGTGCCCGTGCAGCAGATTGAAGGAAACGAGAACGGTGAAGACGGCAGCAGCGAGCTTCCCGTGTTTGCGTCGTCGTGTCCGGCGTGGGTCAGGGACTTGGCTCTCTCGTGCTTGGCGACAGACCCGGTGCACCGCCCGACAGCGCTGGACCTTGTCTCGACGCTGCAGAGCCAACTGAGCGACTGCGCGATGTAGCTCTTTTTGATATTTTGATAGTTTGATACTTTGATATTGACGCGAACCCTCGAACCCTCGTTGTTGCGAGGGTGTACAACATTGTCTGCTACCCGATGAACATGCTAGGAAACAAGAGGCAGGATGGTTCTTCCAAGTCCATAGATCTCTATTATTATCTCCTACTGATGGCTTTGGCAAAAAACGTCTTACACGTACTGCTCAATGCCCTGGAAGTACGACGGCCGCTTGACCCACGAGCGCTTCACGACCTCCTCGTCCGTCGCGAGGCGGAGCGACCCGTCGACGTCGCGCATGTAGAGCGGCGCGCGCTTGGTCGAGATGTCCTTGATGGCAATCTTGAACTTGCCCGTCGGGTTGAGCGCCTTGGCGAAGCTCGGGAGGAGCGTCACCTTGTTCTTCTCGGCGCCGGCCTGGAGGCGCTTGGCCTCGGCCACCGTGAGCTGGTCCGAGAGGTTGCGCTTGCCGTACTGGCGGTGGAGCGGCGGAAGCTCGTCGTGCTCGTCGCTGAGGAAGATGAAGTCGGGTTCGCGGATCTTGTCTTCCTTGTTGTACTCCTCCCACTCTTCGTTGGTCATAAAGTCGGCCTCGGTCATGTCCTCGTCGTTCATGTCCTTGGCATCGTTGTTGCTGCTCGTCTCGAGCGCAAGCTCCTCGATGCTCTTGGAGCGGCCGTGGACCTTGGCCTTCAAGCCGCCCTTGGCCGGCGCCGCGACCTCCTCCTTGGCCTTGGCCTCCTTGAGCGAAAAGACCTGTTCGCGGAGCGCCTCAATCGAGAGGCCGCGCTCGAGGCCCTGGAAGACAATCGTCGCTTCAATGCGCTCGACCGAGACGCGGTTGTCCGTCGAGAGCTTCTTGATCGAGTTGGCGATCGGGTCCGCCATGTAGAGGTCGTAGATGCGCTTGTTGTCGCGCTCGCTGAGGCCGACGCCGCCAGGGTTGAGGTCCACGAAGAACTCGTCGGCCGGGTCGACCTCGGCGACCAGCTCGTCGCCTTCGTCGAGCTCAAAGCCCTCGTCCTCTTCGATCTGGTCGGCGAGCTTGAGGAAGCGCGACGTGTTGGAGGGCACGCTGTCGTTGCCTTCGGACGAGAAGAAGCGGGCGGCGGCCACAGGGCGGAGCGCGGCCGGGCGACGGGCCACCGCGCGGACGACCGCAAGACGAGCGACGGCGCCGAGCATGACAATTGCAGGATTGGCGAACGACTGGTTGAGCTCCAGATCGCACTTGATCGGATCCTCGCATTTATCCGGATATCACGTGACTAAGTGCGAATAGCGCTTCGCGCCAGATCGCTTCAGGAGAGGGCAGATCGCCTAGTACGAGGATGCTCGTCAACGGGTGTTGGCGACGGAGGTGTAGAGAGATCCTTGCTCTACGCACGTAGTAGGGTGATCATGGATTTTCATTGAAAAGAGGGGCCCACCGAGGCGCATGCAGGCTCTTAAATCGGTGGTCGAGAAAAGGCGCGAGCGTCTGTGCGTAGGTAAGCTGTGATGATGTGAAATTGCTTGCAGAGCAAGCGCTGTTCCATGCTATCGGAGCAGAGACTGGATGATGACGGCGGAAGGGGAGAGTGATCCGAGGTATGACGTGGCGCGCCGACATTCGAGTAGAAAGTGCAATGTGGTCCAAACATGATCGACCACTTCAGTCTGTGGGTATGTGGCATTGGGTCTGGACGAGGTAATAAAGACGTCACTGCTTATGATGACGGGTCCCAAGGTCCTGGGACCGACACAGTGTGATCCTGTGTGGAAGATCGACGATGTGGTCCTGGCCATGGACTCGCTGTTTTTCGGCGTGTCTCGATCATCTCGTCTCGGCAACGATACGCAAGGAAATGCACTGCTGTAGCACTTGAGAGCAAACCATCCGTCGCCGTCATCTCAAGCCCGGCATGGAATAAGGGCAGGCACCACGCGTGTGCGCTGTTACTACTCGAGCTGGCTACCCGACGTAGCGATAGGATTGTTCGCCTTGGACATCAACTTGGAGGCTTTGACGTCGCGGTACAGGCGAACAGACTCGGCAAGAGCTTCGAGGTCGCGCTTGCGCACGAGCGATATGTGAGCATTCTTCAACGCCTCACGTCCTTCTCGGGCGCTGCGATGGACTTGTCACGGTGGAGACCGCAAGCATCTCCATGTCCTCAGCCGGGTCGAGCTGCGTCGAGCTGAGCACCGAGACGAGTCAGCGCGTCGAGAGCGCTTGCATAATTGGTATGGGGCACGGAGTGCAACTTGAAAAGTGGGCGGCAACCAACCTCTCACAATACATACCTTTAGAACATGATTATTGAATATAGAATAAATATTAAAAGCCTGACTGGTAGTCTTAATTTTTGTTTGATAATGAATACAATTAGGGCAGTGTAAACCTCTATCAATGAATCTCATGTGATCCAGCAGCCGCTCAGATCTACCACACGTCGCGCTTGGACTTGCAGTCCTCGGTCGCAACTGACCCATTGCTTACATACACTGGGAGTATCCCATGTCCTTCATGGGGATGACAAGCTTTGCGGACCATGACGCGCATGCGACGAGGAAATGCTGCGTAGACAATGAGAGCCTGGCGAAAGACCAGTACGCAGTCAGGATCAACCTCGTACAGATGCCTCTATGAAGGTCACATACTTCAGCTACGAGCAGGTATCAACAGCAAAGGCCCTTGTAGGCACCGGCAGCTGAGCCCATTCGCACCGCGCGTATGGTCCGGATACTAACTTCAACTCCCAAGGGTATCCGGAGGCTACGGGATTGCTCTTTGTGCGATGGCCAAGCCAGTACGAGAGGCCGCGTGCGTCGTTGCGTTCAACCACCTCGACCAAGTGCTCTTTGTGAAGCGGCCCAAGACGGCGAAAGCATGGGCCAACATGATGGTCTTCCCAGGCGGCAAGGTACTGCCAACCTCACGGTACCAGCCACTCCATCGACCGCCTTAGGTCGACGCGTCCGACACGGTGCCGACGCCGGTGTCGGCCTACGCCCACATTCCACCACGGTTCGCTCGCATTTTTACATGCTGCACATATTGACGGAGCTATGACCAGATTCTTTCACTCGGCGGTGCGCGAGCTCTTTGAAGAGGTCGATCTCTCGCTCACGTCGCCACGTTTGAGCCGCCACGTCGACCAAATGACCCGCCGCCAGTGGCGCCACGATATTGTCGACAAGAAGGCAACCTTTGATCAGCTGCTGGCGGCCACCAAGGCGTCGCCCACGTACGATGCACTCCTGCCGTACAAGCAGCTTATAACGCCCGTGACGTCGCCGCATCGCTTCAACACGTGGTTCTTCCTCGCCCAAGTTGGCGCCGCCGACGTTGCCGAGGTGCGTCGATCGCTTTGCATCATGTATTTTGCTGCATACCATCGACGTAGGCGGAGATTCTGCCCTTGGGCACGGAGCTGGACGAGCTCTTGTGGCTCACGCCCGACGACGCGTGGTCGGGGTACCTGGACGGCGACTTCAACTTCGCAACGCCGCAGCTCTATCTGCTGCACGACCTCCGGCGCTTTGGAAGCGTCTCGGCGCTCATGGAGCACACGAAGCGAACGGCACATCAGCCGTCCGAGCCGCTCTTGGCCCAGCGTCTGCCCATCGAGGTACACAAGTTGTCGTCTGTTGGCCTGTAGACTGCAGAAATCTTCATCACGTCATGGGACTAGGACGATGGCGTCATTACGTCCGTCTTCAACGGCGACCCGCTGCACACCGAGTGCACCGACCCAAACGGCCCGCTGCATCGCGTGGTTCTGCACCCCGACCGGTCGCAAACGCTCGTGTCGCTGCTTCCGGATGAGAGAGCATAGGTGTGCGTTCATGGTCAATAATGTCCATGGACAGTTGAAGCATAGTATCCATAAACGGTTGGTGTACGATCCAAGGAGATCTCCTATGGATGGACGTTTCAACGCGCAAGTCGGTGGTTTGGACTTGGTTTCCGCGTCTCTTTGGAGCACATTTTGGGGTGCGTGAGGACCCAGAAAACGCGTCAATTTCGCCCACCACGTGCGATCCTTCATGACAGCGCCAGAGGCCACGGTGCGCTCCCAGAGCCTTGCGATATGCGCTCCTCAGTAGAGGAAGTAGGACCAACTCTTTGAGGCTGCCCGGTTTGGCAACGTAGACCAAGTGCGGATGCTCGCGCGTGACCGTCAATTCCGCATCATGGTAAACTGCACGGACGAGGTAGCAGTCGCTCGTATACGTGTTGCTTCCGCAGCGCAAGGTTGTTTTGTTTGTAGAAAGGCAGGAACGCCTTCATGCTCGCGTCCATGCTGGGACAGCATGACGTGGTCGCATTCTTCCTCGACTGGCTCGTTATCGGAAACGGCACGTACAATATGAACCTCGCCGACAACGTGCGCTGCATGAAGATGTCAAGGCAAAGACCCTTTCGACGCTGCGCACGTAGGAGGGCAAAACTGCGCTGATGCTGGCGTTGGCCCATGGACACGCCGGTATTGCCACTCTTCTTCTTGGAAGAGGAGCAGAGCACAGTCGCATCGATAAGGTACATACGTCGCACGACAGCGTAGGCGTTGAAAGAGATTTTCTTGTAGAGTGGCCAGACGGCGTTGATGCTTGCCTCGTTCATCGGATGCACCGACGTGGTTTACACACTTCTCGCGCAGTTAGCAAATGCAAATCTTATTGATAGCGTACGCATGCCACTCTGTCTTGATTAAAAAGGGCGCCTCTGTAGGAGGGCAAGACAGCGCTGACGTTGGCGTCCGTCAATGGCCATGACCGCGTGGTCAAACTCCTGCTTGACGCCAACGCGTCCATGCATGCAATCGACAACGTAATCAATCGCGTTGAGATGCTATTGCCGAGGGTACGAGTCGTTCTGTAGGAAGAACGAACGGCGTTGATGTTGGCGTCGATCCATGGCTGCGACGCTGTTGTCAGACATCTATTGCACGCCGGCGCTGCCGTCAACTTTACGAACCCGGTTCCATGTCGGAGAAGGCAGCGCTGCTTGCTCAGTCGCTCGTAGGACGACCAAACTGCGCTCCACATGGCCGCTTTGCATGGCCACGAAACGGTGGTGCGGCGTCTTCTCAACGTGGACGCAAAACCCAACATTCTCGATTGCGTACAGAATCGCTCTCAGTGTTGAGGAGATTGAAACTCATTTTTCTAGAACGGCAGAACACCACTTATGATGGCGGCCATGCACGGCCACGAGATTGCGGTCAAATGGCTTCTCGATGCCGATGCGCAAGTGAACCGAAGCGACAGAGTACGACCCCTCAGTTTGTCATTCCCGTTAGAGCGCTATTGTTGTAGACCGACACGACAGCGCTGATGCTAGCCAGCGCCAACGGTCACGATCGCGTCGTTCAACGCTTGCTTGCCGCCGGCGCCAACGTTGATCTCTGCGACAGCGTACGCAGCAAAAGCTCATGTAGATCGTAACATCGTCGGGCGCCTTGCTGTAGAATGGCTACACCGCACTGTTCCTCGCATCTCGTCAAGGACACAGTCCCATCGTGCAGCGACTCCGGAACGCGGGAGCTGTCTTGAGCCTTAACCCAATGACACCCGAGGTGCCTGTTTGAAACACAGCCGTCAAGTGACATCACCTCCTATTAACAATACAATTGTCATGTCACGTTCGATCGATGTTGGTGCCAACAGACACGAAAACCAACGAGGTGGGCTCGTTCCAGTGTCGTATTTCCCAATTGATTTTTTGCAGGAGCGTCATCTGCACAAGCTACTTCACCGTAGACGGGTCGAGAGCTGCGCTGGTTTTTCCCGCCGTCACCGCGAAGGAAGAGCCTGCGGCCGTAGAGCTCCAAGCTCGCTTCACATTCTTCATCGCATCTGAGTACCGGAAAGACTCTTTTTCCGTGGTCGTAGCATGAGTGAATGCGACTGCGAACGCATTCGTAGCACGCACGACAGTCAAGAGGTGCCCAAGAAGAGAAAGATTCTGCGCGCCAAGACGAGACGGTAATCCAACGGACGATTCCAATCCCAGCAAACTGTCGCGGCGACAGCGTACATATGGTCATCATATACATGAACAGATCAGTGCATGCGCTCTCTATCAACGACTGTCTGTGTTTTCGTATGGTAGATCGCAGGGTCCGCTTGGCGCCAAGGCATCTAAATGTCTTGGCACGATATACTGCCACGTATATATAGACCTCACAAAGAGTACGTGAAGTGCATATGATAAGAATTACAATTTCACAAGCAATGAGAAGTCGCAAATTTAGGAATGACAACACACAACACACCAATCGCATCGCAGGGTAGTCCTATCATCGACATGTCGCTTCTACCTTTATTATTTATGGCAGTTTTGCTGTTTCAGGTTCAACCGCTTTTAAAAGTGGCCAGTGTGAGCCGCTGTGCACCTTTGGTTTGGCGCTCACTTCCGCTCCTTGACCCGCCGAGAGCTGACTTGTGCATCAGTCTTCCCATGGCGGCGCCTGCGACTACGGTTAGCTACAATATCGCTATAGCGGGACGAGCTCAGTGGCGAGCTTTGTAGTACCCGCTCATCATGGCAGCCCGGGATGGCAACCTTGCCGAAGTCCGTCGACTCTTGGGTACCAATTGCGACCTTAACGTCAAGAACAAGGTTTGCAGCGGATATATCAGGATTGCTTCACGAATCGATGTGTAGGAGGGCAAGACGGCGCTGATGCTGGCGGCCGCCAACGGTCGCGCCCAAGTGGTGGTCGAGCTACTTCAACGCTCGGCCGACATGAGTTGCATCGACATTGTCGGCTTGACCACCATGTATATTTCGTAAACAGCAAACACACTGTGTAGGAAGGAAGGACGGCATTGATGCTGGCCTCGGCCAACGGACACGTCCACGTGGTCCAACACCTTGAATCCAACTCGGGCCCTCTTGGCCTCATGGACAATGTAAGGTGCTTTGCTGCATCGGATGCTCTGCTGACAATTAGATTGTAGAAAGGGCAAACAGCGTTGATGCTGGCGTCTGTGAATGGACACGTGGACGTGGTGCAACGCCTTCTTGACCGCTCGGCGGACCCTAACCTCATTGATCTGGTTCGTGCATTGCAATGACCATGGTGTTGACAGTCCACCTTTCTGTAGAACGGCAACACGGCATTGATGCTGGCGATAACAAGCGGCCAATTCTACGTGTTTAGTCGTCTTTACAATCGCTCGAACCCTGATATCTTGAATCGGGTACACTCATAGTGATGTGCGTCTCGCTCACTTGAATCATGACGGTAGGATGGTCAGACGACGCTAATGATGGCGCTAACATGTGGACACTCCAACCTGTCGTTGCAACTTCTTGAAAGATGCAAGCTGGACGTTGTCGATCGAGTCGGCTGCGCCGCAATGGCGTCGATTTTTCTGACAAGAATCGTCTGTGTAGGATGGCAAGACGGCGTTGATGATAGCGTCCGCTAAAGGCTACGAAAATGTGGTCCAACGACTCGTTGACCGCTCTGCTACGCTCGACCTTGTTGATCCCGTACATGACACTGCAAATCGTGCTGCGCTTATGCTAATCTTGTAGGAGGGGAAATCAGCGTTGATCCTGGCGATTCAAAACGGGCACGACGCGGTGGCTCGAATTTTGCTTACCCGACGAGCCAACATCAATCTCACCGACGAAGTATGTTGTGTCGTGCTATCGCTTTGCTTGACATGGCTTTTTCGCAGGACGGCAAGACGGCGATGATGAAGGCGTCGATGGCCGGGGACACGAACATGGTGGCATCCATCCTCAAATTCGACCAGAGTGTGGACGTCAGACTCAAGGACAAGGCATGCCGTATGACGAGGCAGCCTTACTCAAGCACGCGTGATTTTAGGACGGGAAGACAGCGCTGATGTTCGCAGCTGGAAATGGCCATGACGCGATCGTCCAACACCTACTACGCGCACTTGCCGACATGAACGCGACCGACAACGTAGGCTGTCGCACATCGCAGCTGGGATATCACTATCCTCTTTTTAGAACTACTCGACAGCGTTGATGATGGCGTCTGCGCGTGGCCAAAATGCCATCGTGAAGCGTCTGCTGATCGCCCACGCCGATGCCGACATCACTGAAAAGGTTCAATGCTCGTGTTGACAGTATTGAACAGTCCGTTGTGCTGCGTAGGATGGCAAGACCGCGCTGCTCATGGCATCTACAAACGGGCATGAAATTGCCGTCAAGTTGCTCATCAATGCCCACGCAGACGTGAATCTCAGCGATCTCGTATTCCTCTTTCTTTTCGTGTGTGGGATGACTCTAGTCAATGCACTCTGTAGCACGGCAAGACGCCGTTGATGATGGCGGCCATGCACGGCCACGAGATTGCGGTCAAATGGCTCCTCAACGCACGTGCCGATGTGGACGTCAGCGACAGAGTACGAACCCTCTGTTAGCCATTCCTTTCGAGCGATACTTTTGTAGAACGACACGACAGCGCTGATGCTCGCCAGCGCCAGCGGTCACGATCGCGTCGTTCAACGCTTGCTTGCCGCCGGCGCCAACGTTCATCTCTGTGACAGCGTACGCAGCATATCTCTAGTACAATTGAATCGTACTATCGTCGGACGCCTGACTGTAGAATGGCCACACCGCACTGCTTCTTGCGTCGCGCCAAGAACACAGTGCCATTGTGCAGCGCCTTCAGAACGCGGGAGCCGCCATGGACCCTGACCCTACGGCAACGACCGACACGAAACCCGCGGTAAATTGGCCGAACGCCATCATGAACTATGACAAACAACAACTTGTCTTCTAGCGTGGTCCTCCGTCGGACGACACCGCTGCCATGCGAAGTGCAAGTGCGAACGATGTTTGCGCCGACAGACACGAAACCAACGAGGCAAGTACAAATCCACATTTCCGAATTGACAATGGACGTTGTGCAGGAGCGTCCATCGGTACACAGCCGCTGGGCCATCGGCGTGTCGAGAGCTGCGCTGGTTTTTCCCGCCACCGCGAAGGAAGAGCCTGCGATCGAAGAGCTCCAAGCTCGCTTCACATTGTGCACCACATCCGAGTAAGTCTCTTCTTTCGTGGTAGTAGCAGCATTGAATGCGGCTGTGATCGCACTCGTAGCACGCACGACAGTCAAGAGGTGCCCAAGAAGAGAAAGGTTCTCCGCGCCAAGACGGGACGGTAATCCAACGGACGATTTAAATCCCAGCAAACTGTCGCGGCGACAGCGCACATATGGCCATTGTATACATGAACGAATCAATGCATGCGCTTTCTTTCAACGATTGTTTGTGCTTTTGTATGGTAGATCACAAGGTCCGCCTGGTGCCAAGACGTCGACTCTAGATCTCTTGGAACGACATACTGCCACGTATATAATAGACCTTACAAAGAGTAGGTGGAGTGCATATGATAAGAATTACAAAATTTTCAAAAGCAATGCAAAGTCGCAAATTTAGGAATGACAAAACACAGGACACGAATCGCATCACAGGGGTCGTATTCTCGACATGTTGCTTGTACCTTTATCATTTATGGCAGTTTTGCCGTTTCAAGCTCAACCGCTTTTAAAAGTGGAGGGTGAAGAGCTGCTCCCTTGGTTTGGCGCTCACTTTCGCTCCTTGACCTGCCGAGAGCTGACTTGTGCATCGGTCTTCCCATGGCGGCGCCTGCGACTACGGTTGTCTAAGAAATCGCTACAACGGGACGAGCTCAGTGGCAACCTTTGTAGTATCCGCTCATCGAGGCCGCCCGGGATGGCAACCTTGCCGAAGTCCGTCGACTCTTGGGCATCAATTGTAATCTCAACGTCAAGAACGAGGTTGCTTGTAGCAGACGTATTGTGCAAGCTTATCAACCTCTTTGGGTAGGAGGGAAGGACCGCACTCATGCTGGCCTCGGCCAACGGACATTTATACGTCGTTCAAAGCCTTGACGCCTACTCGGGCACTCTAGACCTCGTCGACAATGTATGGCGTTCTGTTGCATCGGATGATCTGCTGACAATCAGATTGTAGAATGGGCAGACAGCATTGATGCTGGCGTCTGTGAATGGACACGTGACCGTGGTGCAACGCCTGCTCCAGCGGTCGGCGAACCCAGACCTCACTGATCTGGTTCGTATATTTCAATGACCAAGTGGAGAATATTAGCCTTTCTTTCTGTAGAGCGGCAGCACGGCATTGATGCTGGCGATAACAAACGGCCAAGCGAGCGTGATTCAAAGTCTCATCAACCGGTCGATCCCTGATGTCCTCTATCCAGTACAATACCCTCTTCAGTGATGTATTACTAGTACATGTCTTGCTTACCTGCTTCGTGATGGTAGGATGGCAAGACGGTGCTCATGATGGCGATATCATGTGGACTCGTCGATGTGGCCGCCCAACTTTTGCAAAAATCGCGCAATGTGAACGCAGTCGACCGAGTGCGCTGCGCCGAAAGAGTCGACGGCGTGTTGACAAGAATGACGTGTGTAGGATGGCAAGACAGCGTTGATGATTGCGTCCGCCAAAGGCTACGAAAAAGTGGTGCAGCATTTTATGAACCGATCGAATCGCGACCTTGACCCTGCCGCGCTCGACCTCGTCGATCCCGTACATGACACTGCACTGCGTGAAAGCTAATTTTTGTGTAGGACGGCAACACAGCGTTGATCCTGGCCATTCAAAACGGGCACGACGCGGTGGCTCAGTATTTGATTGCCCAAGGAGCCAACATCAATCTCACGGATAAAGTACGTCCAATGTCTCATAGTGTTACGCTGCCTAACGTCTCTACTTGGTAGGACGACAAGACGGCGTTGATGAAGGCGTCGATGGCCGGAGACACGGGTATGGTGACATCCATCCTCAAATTCGACAAAAGTGTGGACGTCCGGCTTGGAGACAAGGCAACTCGTATGACGAGGCTGCCATACTCAAGCACACGTGATTTTAGGACGGGAAGACAGCGCTGATGTTCGCAGCTGGAAATGGCCATGACGCGATCGTCCAACACCTGCTGCGCTCACTTGCAGACGTGGATGCGACCGACAACGTAGCTCGAATGCAGTGTTGGCGTTGTATACACAGCATTTTGTAGGACTACGTGACAGCGCTGATGATGGCGTCTGCCTGTGGCCAAAACGCAGTAGTCAAGCGTCTACTGGTTGCCCAAGCGGCCTTGAACGCCACCGATACGGTTCAATGCTCGCATCGACAGAATCGTTCACTGAGTTGATTTGCGTACAGTGCGGGCCAATATGATAGGTTCAGCCGTCTTTTTGTGACAGCCGTTACAGTTTTTCACCAACAAGTGTGAAAAGGGTGGCAATCGAAAGCTCTTGCCACAAGCGATCGATTGCCACCGGAATTGGTGAAAAATGTTGGAAATTGGCGGAGGAATCGCTACTAATGGGTTTTGGACCCTGACAAGAAAGATAGGTTCAAGGTCAACCTGCCGTCATTTGACGATTTCTACTGACGACCGAAGGCGCGAGGTAGGCTGAAATTGATCATTAGTGCGTGTACGACATATAACCTGCGTGTTAGGGTGGCAATGGGCCGAGGAAAGGCTTTAACCTCGTACGAACAGGGGCAAATTGCTGCTTTTGCCTCCCAGGGCTTCAGCCAACGCCGTATCGCGCAGGAGATTGGCCGAGCGCAAAACGCAGTCTGCCACTACCTCAAGGACCCCGAAAATTACGGCAAGCGCTATAAGAAGGGCCGTCCGTGCATTCTAAAGCCACGAGAT